TGTATTGTGCTAATTTTAGAGGTGAGAAAATTAAGGATCAAGAGGGTTTAAGAACCTTGTTCAGGATGACATGGCTAACACATATCAGAGCCAGGCTTTAAACTCTAAAACCTTTGTTCACTGCACTGTACAATGCCTTCATAAGCTAAGAAATGAGAGAATTATACAGGTAGGTGTGTCTGAGTCTGATCAAAATAGAAAGCATCTGTGAGATTTGACAACATGGAGGTCATTGACACCTCATAAGGACAGTTTCATGGCAGAGGTCAGGGTGTAGTCTTGGGGAGTGAAAGGCAGGCTAGGAATTTGGAGGATCCTCTCAGGGAGTTTGACTATAGAGAGAAGATAAGAGATGGCAAAATAACCAAAAAGGGAGGGAGTGAGATGTAAAAATGTTTAAAGAAGTTTTAAAAAATTATATAATAGAGGAGGAACCTGCAGATATCTGTGTGGTAACAGAAAATTCGCGAATGCATTTTGGTGGTCTAAGTCTGAGAGTTTGGTGAGTTTGAGTCAACATCTTTGAATTTGTCCAACTTTGAACTTGGAAAGCTGGGAAGCTAAGCCTGTGAGCAGATCACTCTTGTGGTGGCACAGATGTCATGATCTTTCGCCTGTCTTGTTTTAACTGTAAGCATAACCATGGAATCAACAGTGAGTGATTGTTCTGCTTTAACAGACTTGTGAATGGTAACATCACAGCTCCTCTATCAACTTAAGAGATACAAATGTAAACAGCTATGCGGTACCCTACTCAGTACTAAAGATCCAATACCATGAGAATTCACTGTTGACCAGAAGACAATAGGTACAATTCTTTTGGAAAACAATGGTACATGTTTCCAGAGCCTTGCACATTCTAATATCACTTATTCTAATACTTTCATTTCTGAGAATTTGGATAGTGAAAAAAGTACAAAGATGTTCATTGTGGCATTGTTTATAATAAGGAAAAATAGAACAATTTCAAGTGTTTGCAGCTATAGAACTGTGTAGACAAACAAGGCTACATCCACTTGCTGGAAAATTATATAATGGTTTAAAACACTATTTACAAAGACAATGCAATTGTCAAAACATGAAATACATATAGTGCCAAAGAAGAAAAACAGAACAAAAATCCTATAATATGAAAGCAACTGTGTAACTAAACCAACAATGTAAAAAAATGGAAATATCTTCACTAGCAGTGATTATGTTTGCCTAGTTGTTACTTTGATAATGAAAAAGAAACTAAAAATGAAGAGATCTCTGGAACTCCACTGATTTGCAATGTCTAAGAGTACATTGAGCACTATTTTTTTCCATTCACTTTTTCATGTCTTTCTTTAGCATCTTTGTAGTACATAAATTATTCATAAAAATGCAGGTGTTTTACCGAAAATGCATCAAATGAAACCCCTAGGTAACATACCAATAAAGTATCTTTAAAATGTTTTTATTATGCTCAGCATCATTTTTTTTGTACAAAACACACATTGGGAAAATGCACAAAAATTATAAAATCAGAGAGAACTATAGAGAAGTAAAGAAAAATCTCTCTTAATCCTTCTCAGGTAATAAATGCTGATACTGTAAAAGGAACAGATTTTGATGGGAGGAACATGTTATGTTGATTTTAAACAAGTGCGTATAACTGACATAAAATTTTGATGTAACGTTTTTCTCTTCAACTAAGCCAAATCATCTATAAACAGAGCAGGTTTAAGGGAAATCAATATAGTTGTTGAGTTCAGTCTATACTGGGTCTGGGTGAGGCTCTGTAGTAGACCTTTCCCCCATTGACCTTACTCATCAGGAATGCAACTTTATTTATTGTTGTTGTTGAAAATACATTACACCAGGGGATCATAGACATGTTATAAGCAAAATATAATTAGATTTCAGCAGTGTCTTTGAACATGGAACCAGAAGAACCTCACTTATGGTGATCTCCACATTCCCCTTGTTATGGAGCAGGGGCCATTGTCTATTTACCTCTGTCTGTCCCCTATCGTTTGTTAGTGAAATGTTCTCTGCTATAGTTTGGATCTTAAATATCCCACAAGACCCATATACTAAAGACTTGCTCACTAGCCTGTGGTGGTGTTGGGAGGTGGTGGGACATTAAGGAAGCAGAGCCTAGTAGGAGGAAGTTAGATTACTGAGGGTGTGTTTTTGAAAAGGATACCGCATCCTTTCCCCTTTCTCTCTTTCTCTTTCACTTCCTGGCCACCATGAGGTGAACAACCTCTTCTATCATGTGCTCTGCCATGATTTACTGTTCCTCCACACACCCAGAGTGACAGGCCAACTAACCATAGAATGAAACCTCTGAACCCCTGGTTCCAAATAAAGTTTTCCTCCTTTGAAGCTGATTATCTCAAGTATTACATGAAAAGCTAACAACTCCCATCCACTTCTCTGGCTTCAACCTCCATTTTTAAGCTAATGACTTTCAAATCTCAATAATCAACTCTGACTCCTTTCTTCAAATCTAGAACCAGATAACTAGATAGCTGCCTCCTGAGCTTTTCACTTGGATGTTCCATAAATAGCCCAAAAGCAGTATGGCCCCACCTGCACTTACCATTTCCTCCCAACCCTGCTCTTTCTCCCACAATCCCCAGCTTCATTAATGGAAGCACCATTTCTCTAGGTACCCAAGAGGGAGCACAAATGAATTTCTTTCTGCCTTTTCATTATTTGCTTTTGAAACCCTGCTGACTCTAGCTCAGAAATGTCCTAGATTTGTCATCTCCATTCCCAACACTTCTGTTAGTTCAGACTCTCATCATAATCTTACCTGGATTATTATTATTTTTTAAAGTAGGAAGATATTTATTGATAGGAAAGCTCCTGAAGGGCAGGAGGGGTCCTGAGCGGGTAGCCAAAGACCCCACTTCGCAAGGAAGTTTTATAGGGTGAAACCCAAGTGGGTACAACCTGGGCCACAGCCATGAAGATCCAGTAAGGTTACGAGTATAGTCACTTAGGTAATGGTGTTCCAATTGGGAAGCAAGACACATAGCAAGCATACAAGGGTTTTCAGTAAGGTTGGGGGTCAGGGATATTTCCTGGAGAAGCTGGGTTAAGACCTTGACCTCCCCACCCAGGTGACTGATGCCTATTTAGAATATCAATCACTGCTATTTATCTCCAGGGGAAACACAAGGTGTGTAGTTTCTCTCCTTTTACAATTCTGGCCCTCAGTGAATGTGCCTTGGGTCACAATTGTCCTCATGCCAAAGGCCCAGCCCTGTATAGACGGCTGGCTGTAATATTTATAACTAACTTAGTTGTCTACAATACCAAGAGTCCCCAATAACCTTCCAGCAAATCCCCTTGGGTTAGGTCGGTCTGTCCCTCTCTGAGCGTACAGCCAGGAACTCTAATTGATGTGGTGCTGTGGTGTGTTTCACCTTTGTCCTAGCCTCCTCCAGGACTTAGCCCTATCTGACTGCCTATAATATTTCTACCTAGCTCATCTGTCTATAATATTCCACCCTCTGAAGTATCCCGAACTGCCGTGAGGGCGCAAGGGGTGATGACTGCTCGAGCTACTTCATCTTACCTGGATTATTACATTGATCTCCTAATTTCTCCTCCTTCAATATTTTTGTTTCAAAGCATTTACATGGTCTAACCAAAGATATCTGTCCAAACTCAGGTATAATTATATTATTTCCTTCCCTAGAAATATAGAAAGTCTTCTTATTGCCTTAAGAACACAAATTCCTAGACAACTCTAAGAGCCTGTCACAGCCAGGCCCCAACTTCCCTTTCTGGTCTCATCCCTGATAAAATTCACCCTCATGAACATGGCCTACTTTAGCCACTCATAATTTCCCACTCTGCTCCAAATAGAGTGTCTTCTTTCTTTGCATAGAATGGTACAGAACCTTCTCTCTCAACTTTCTATTTCTTACTTGAGAATTCCTACTCCATTCAAAGCCCATCCCACACCATGTCTCCTCTGAGCACCCTTCCTGCGTTCTCCATGGCAGAAGTAACCATTCCCCAACCTTGTTCTCCTAGAACTTAGCCCATGCATCTATTGTAACCCTTATCTCTGTTGAGTTTTGTTATTTTATTTTGTATTATTTTTATTTCTTTATGTGTGCCCTCAGAGCTTAAGGGGGAGCCTGGTGGAGAGCAGTGCCTGTGAATGCTTGGAGGATAGCTCCAATTTGGATGTGAAGGACATAATGCCCACCTCACCTCTCTCTCGGGAAAACAGTTGAGCCTTGGGTCCAACTATAGACTCAGCCCACCCCAGGTCCATGCTGTGCAATAATCCTCTCATATCACTTTCCAGAAGAATCTCATGGCAGATCATTTCATTTTCAGATTTTTCTTTCTTCTCTGAAAAAGATGAATTCAATAGTGATCAATGTATCACATTTGAAATGCTCCCTGAATTAGATGTGTGCTGAGAGACCCCAGAACTGATCCTGGGTAAAGGAATTGTGTCTTGAGAAAAGATATGTGTTTTCCTAGAACAGGGAAGGAGAATGGAGCTCATGTTCCAGGATTGAAATGAACAAATATACACAAGAACCCACTTTGGAAGCACGCCAAAACAAATGGATGACATTCTCTAAATTCTACTTAACCTTTTCATCTAGAGTCCTATATCACAGTATTTCAGGAAACTTCAAACAGGCTTAATTCTCCTCCCATATCATCCGGGTTTATCCAAAGCAGAGATTTTCATTTAGTGCAATGCAGTGTTGGAATGCCTGCCTGCCCCTCTATTAGACTATAAGTTAGGAGATGGCAGAGTTGTGTTTATTCATTCTGGTCTTCTCAGAAAGTAGCTCATTATCTATTATCTGTTAGATGTTCCGGAAATACTTGTTTAATTAAATTGAATGAAATAGTCCTCCTTTCATACCTCAGGAGACTAAGGAACACATAGCTAGCGCTCATAGCCGTCAGATATTTCTAGACTGAGCAAATGAAAATACTCCAGCACTCACAGAGTTCACAGCCTCCTAGGAGGCGGGGAGGAGCGAGGACAGCTAAGGCTTCCAGCCTGAACCAGAACATGCAACGTTGAGTCCACCAGCCAGCAGAACAAGAGAAGGAAGGAATGAAGTTCACGGAGATTGGCCAAGGCTTTCTGGAAAAGTGACATAATCATCATTGGAATTTCTAGGTAGAAGGGAATCCAGGGGGGAGAACCAGCGCCAAGAAAGAAGTGTGGGATATGATTTGGATTTGGGAAGAGGAGAGAAGACTGAGGCTCAACATTGACGGGAGACTTCTGACTCCAGCTTGGGGTGTGGATGGGTTAGAGCTGAAGCAGTGCCCTCTGCCAGGCCCCGGGCCCCAGGTGGAGAGTGGCGTGAGGCGCCTTGGGCTGCCCTGCAATCAGCACACGGCCGTGTCTTAGGCACGGGGAGGGGTCGCGCCCCGCTGCCCACCCTGTCAGTCCGGATTTGGGCGCGGTGCCTCCCCTACCCCAGGCCAGGCAGTGTCCCCCAGGCAGGGCGGGGCCCAGCGCCTGCGGGGCGATGACTAAGCCTTGGCTGACAGCAGGAGCGGCCTGGCGGGAGAGTTAGGAGACAGGATTAGTCGGCCGAGCGTCCGGGGTCGTGGCGTGGGCCGAGAGGGGTGCGGCGGACGCCAGAGGGCAGATAAAAGGGGCGGCGCGGCGCTGGGACCGCTTTCCCCGTGCCGCGTAGCACCGGGAGAGGCCGCCATCGGCCGCGGGCAGCGCTGGGCAGGGACGGGAGGCCGGGAAGCATCGACGCCCGGGCATGGCGGCGGCGGCGGCGTGCGAGCCAGTGGGCAGGCCGAGCCTGACCTCCATCTCGTCAGGGGAGCTGCGCAGCTTGTGGACCTGCGACTGCGAGCTGGCCGTGCTCCCGCTGGCCCAGCTTCTGCGCCTGCAACCCGGAGCCTTGCAGCTACGCGGCGACCAGCTCGTGGTGCCCGGGCTCGGGGAGCCGGTGGCCGTGCGTGGGGGCTTCAACGTCTTCGGGGACGGCTTCGTGCGCCTGGATGGGCAGCTCTACCGCCTCAGCAGCTACATCAAGAGGTGGGTGCCTCGCCGTGGCCAGCCGCCAGCTCCCGGGAAACTCCACCCAGCTGCCCCCTTTGCCCGCGACCCCTTTCCCTTTTCTTTCAATCTCTAGATGTTCTCGCTGTTAACGTCACCTGGAGCCTGCAAGCTGTCCCCGCCCTGGCTGCTGCCGCCCTTTGCACTGACCCTTTGCAGCTGCAGGTTGAAGCAACCCAGAGGACATCAGGCGGGCCATGTGGGGAGGGCAGTGTGGGAGCGCCATGGACTCGCTCAGCTCCCACCCAAAGTGCATAACTGTGGTTGCTCTTTCCATTCCAGCTTCTTAACTGGGCCAGATGAGCTCAGCCATCTGACCGATGACTTGAGGCACACCCTTTAGGGAATATTTGCTGTGCAGAGACTCACATCCTCTCTTTAGATATGGGGCCTTGGGAGGGCAGTTGTACAGTTCTGAGCACAACTAGTTTTATCCGGTGAGGAGTTCCAGTGAAGAAGCATTTATACGTCTTTGACTTCTCTTACTGTGTCACCAACCATCCAGTCAACCAACTAACAACCGACCAATCAGCCGCGGTGAAGGAAACAACCCGGACAAGTGCAATCCAGTGCAGTGCGACCTGTGAGTTGGCAGATAAAACCTGGAGCCCTAACTGAATGGAGTTTCCCCAGAATGGTGCTAGGCTGATGTGGCCAAAGTGACTGAAACCCTCATAGGCAGACTAGAAGCCAGCAGGAAAGTGGACCATCTGTCTGAGCAGGCTTTGATGGTGGGGGATGGAGGAGGGCAATCCCTGCCTGATTCTATAGGACCTGGGCCTCCCCGGGTCATCCTGAGGGAAGGGAATGTAAAACTCTCTTATATTTGCACTGCAGTTCTCCAAAGAGGCAAGTGCAGACTGGAGTTTGATTAAGAAATGAATGAACAGTCGGGGATTTAGCTCTTGGTTCAGGCACCTGGCTCCCAAGCTCAAGGTCCGGAGTTTGATCCCAGGTACCAAAAAAACAAAAAAAACAAAAAGAAAGAAATGAATGAACTGCCATCTATTAAGATGTAATATGTTTGTTGCTGGGAAAGACTGAGTTGGGTACCGTGTTGGTGGAATACAGCCAAGAGGGGCAAGCAAACAAAATGAGGTATTTATAGTGCTTGTTTCAAAGCTGCTGGCAAAAACAAAAACAAAAAAACCCCGTGCTTTTCCAAGCCAATATAGTTAAGGGCAATGAATGCCTGTAAAACCATTCCACAGCAAGACTTTCTCTCATTTCTCTTCTTTCTCCCTCTCTCTCTCTCTGTCTCTCTCTCTGTCTCTCTGTCTCTCTCTCTGTCTCTCTCTGTCTCTCTGTCTCTGTCTCTCTCTCTCTCTCTCTCTCTCTCTCTCTCTCTCTCCCCTCTCCCCTTCCCCCCCCTCTGGTGAAATGAAAATTCCAACCCATAAGCAAGGGGCAGAAGGAAGAACTGAGTCAGAAATCAGATTTAGAAAGATTTAAAAAGAAGATAACTATTGTATTTGAGACTTAATTGGAAGGATGGATAAGGCTTTAGACAGAACCAGCTCCCCTAATCTTAGTAAACACTGCAGTAGTCCCTGGGCAGTTTAAGGCCTACTAAACAACTGGCCAGTAATGACCAGATGGCACATTCAGAGGTCAAACACAGAACTACAAAGGCTCTACTCCATAAGCAATCATGTGTGAGGGCTTTTGTACCCTGAGGAATAGCAACCAGCCCCTGAAAATAACTTGGGCAACAGAAGGAGCAGTGTATCTTCCTTAACGGGACGTACCTTGGTAGGGAAGGTAGCTTTTATAAATGGATGTGCAGTCCTGAAAGGTCACTAGAAGGGAATCTGGTCTGAATGGAGAGAGCCTGCTAGGATTATGTGCAGCAGTGAGACATTTGTCATCATGCAACAAAAGAGAACATACCAAATTCAGACATCTGAAGTTGTTATTCCTCTGATCAACATTAACAATTGTCTTTGGTTTTTGGAATTGTATAAACTTCCTACCTCAAAATATTACTCCAGAGCAGTGTCTTTCTGCCTCCCTCTCTCTCCCCTTCCCTCTCCCTCTCCCCTTCCCTCCCTCTTTTTTTTGGGGGGGGGGGGGGTACCTGGGCTTGTGAGGCAGGCTGGGCAGTGGAACCACTGAGCTAAATCCCCAACCCTCCCTCCCTCTTTCTTTCCTTCCTCTTCTTCCTTCTTCATCTTCCTCCTGCTCCTTGTTCTTCCAGATCTGGCCAGTTTTATTAAACAGAATTGCAGATTTACCTTGTTCACTGGTGTGTCTGTCATGCTTCTGACACTCTCAGAATCACCTGGATCAATGACAGCCAGGGCAGGTGTATTCTCCGCATGCTGTACCCAGTTTGACATTACTGTCACTGTACTGTGGGAGGCACTGATTTTGAATGTCCCTGGCACAGCACTCTACTTTGGTTTCTCTTGAGGCAGGCCAGTTGATGAATGAAGAACCAGTCTGTTTTTGCCTTGTCTGGCATCCTCAGTTCCCCAGAATGTACTTTCCATTTGTCAAAGGAGCTGGAGCCTGGAGTCAATGAACTGCATTAACTTTTGCATCTTTGTGGCCACCACATTCCTGCCTTAGGTGTGGATGGCTTCTAACCAAGAACAGCTGTCAAGACAGCCAGGGACTGAGAAAGGCATAGTGCTGATTCTTAAACATTTTAAACTGTATGGCTTTTGAGAACTACATGGAAACCTTTTCCCCAGAAAAGTAGATATATTCCCAATACTAATAACCATTCAGGTAGTTAATAAGATACTTGGATCCAGGTTAAGGACCTTTGATCTATTAAATAATTAGGGTTTTTCCCAGTCACTATATATTTTTACTGTGGAATAAGCCCATGATGTAATTAAGATTTCTTTTTAGAGCCTCAAAAGGTTTCACAAGTCCCTTTCCCAAGTAACACCAAAGGCTGAGAGCCATTGCTCTTCACATTCACATGGTTCACTTGCTCAGGGAGCAAGAGGATGATTTCTGTCCTACACATTCAGGTTTGTTTTCTGATAGGTAGACATTTTTCTAAATACATACCTATAAAATAAACAATGAGAGTCTAGGGTGATGGGACAATTTAGTGAAGGCCACCAAGCTTTAAAGCTTCTCCCAGAGCCTGCTTTAACAATATTTGTCTTACTTGATGGGATTTATGGAAAGATCTTTCTTGTTCTTTTTTTCTTTCAAGCTCATCTATATTACAACCAAGCCCTGCTCAGGAACCAGATGTACATGCTAGTTATCCAAAGAGCTAGTCATTCAACACTTTAAAATCCAAGGATGAAACACCCTTCACTGCTCCCGTCATGTACCTTTCTTTTTGCCTCTAACACTACCTCATAGTCATATGTAATGGCAACATCTAGCAAAGAGGACCTCTAATTCCTTCTCTTTGGTGTTCCCCTAGCAAGAAAGAGACAGCTTGGGTAATCAAAATAAGTACAACAGTAATAATGGTGGCTGCTGACATTTACTTGAGCACTAGGTATTATCTCACAAAAGCTTACAAAGTTGGCACTACTATTGTTGTCCCTTTTTTACAAATGGGAAAATTAGGACTCAGAGAGATTAAGTAATTAAACTAAGCGAGATGCTGGCAGCAATAGAACCAGGGATTCTAAGTAACATTGTCGAATTGTGAAGCCCCTGTTTCTCAAAAATTGCCTGGAATGGGAAGTAATTCTGTCTTCCTATAATCAGCAGCAGCTTCTCACTTCCAGAGCCCACAAATAAATAACTGTGATTCCATCAGCTCCTGTGCAGCTTATGTAATCAGTGTAAAAGAGAAAGTAGGGAGGTTTTACGGAAGTCTCTATAAGCAGAAATGTAACCTGGTCCTGCCTGTGGCCAAGCAGCTGTTAGACAGATGGGTAACAGTCACACCCTCCTCTGGGCAGGTCCCTGGGGCAGAATGCAGAAGGGTGGGACTCTGGGACTCAAGGGTGAAGCAGGACTAGAGTCAGGGCCGGCACATATTTAGATTTGTGCTGAGTGGCATCACCTGCACCCTGTAGCAGGAAACATGGACTTTGTCCTAGCCCAAACCTGGTTGTCACAGCTCTGTATATAGCCCAAAGAACTGGGCTGTGCTGCTTGTGTCTGCCTGTGACTTCTCCTATGTGCTGAGTCTGAGGCATGGAAACCTGCCAAGGGCAGTAGTCTGGTAAAGGGGCATATCATGACACTGATGAACTAATACTAGTCCACACACTGGGCTATGATTTTGATGAGACTCAGTCTGGAGGAAGCATGGATGAGGTGAGTGCTAGCTGAGAGATCTTGGGACATTTCCTTAATTTCTGTGTGTCTTGGTTTCCTTGGCTATTAAATGAGAATAATAATCCTCTCAAACTTACAGGATTGTAGAGAATTTAAGTTGGGAAAATCCTAAAAAACGGTGATTGGCCCATATTAGACACTTGACATTCGTTAGTTTTTATACTGCCAAATAATCTCATCAGACAACTGTTTAATCTGGTAATCACCTCATCAGCACCTTTCATTAGATGATTTTACAGGTGAGGAAAGTGAGTCTCAGCAAGGTTAGATACCTGCAGAGGTCACGGAGACAGAAATCACACTCAGATTTGATGCCTTCATCTCTGGCTTCCTTCCTCCAGAGGCTTGCTCTGACTTTCAGCCATACTATAGTCTGCTTCCAACACTCAGCCCACCTGGTCTTTGCCACATACCTGCCTATCCTCCCAGATGTAGCCACCCTTGTAGTCCCCAAGGCTTGGCCAAGTAGTGGCTCCTCCTATGGTTCTATCCCCATCGTGCTTTCAATTAATGGCTTTGATTCCAAATGCTTCCCCCATGTTCATTTTTGTTTAAATAGGAGCTTGGGTTTATGAATGCAGAGAACTGTGTATCTCTCTGGCATTTGCATGTTTGAATAATTTACCAGTTTGCAATCCTCAGAATGGCAGGCGCCATGTCTTAGACTGATGCGTCTAGAAATTTAAATAAGCGTGCAAGTCTCTTGGTGATCTTGATAAAATACAGATTCTACTCAATAAGACTGGGAAGGGGCCTGGATCCTGCATTTCAACAAGCTTCCAATGATGCTAGTGCTTTTCGTCCAAGGATCACACTTTGAGCAACAAGGTCATATATATCCATCATTTCCTATTAAGATGGTATATTTTATCTGTCTTCAAATACATCTGTATGGCACTTGGAAGTAAGACTGCTTTCTTTCTCATTTTTGTGTCCCCTGAGGCCAGCACATAGCAGGTGATTAGTTAATTTTTATTGCACGGATGGACCATTCTCTGCCCCATCACAATTTTCACACACACACACACACACACACTAGCTATCCATAACTGCTCAATAAGCAAGTGAATTAACAAGGGTATCCTTGATTTCAGCTACAGATGTTAGAATCATAAAGTCTGAAAATTTTGCTTAGTTTCACTACAGTTATGGAAGGAAATGAAAGAGAAGGAATTGTTTGAGAGGGTGAAGCTCTGCATACGGCCATCAAGCCAAACACTGTCAACATAGCAGGGAGCCCTGCTTGCTCCCAGGAGTAGAAATTTCTGAAAATGTTTGCTTAGTGTCACAGTCAAGGATTGTAAGAGCCACAAGCACTGTGCACGAAGACCATATGGTGTGTGCTCCTCTTTTTGTCTGCTCCATTCTCTGTGATTTTTCTTATTTTACTTGCATTTTAATTGTGATAAAATACACATTGAACAAAGTTTGCTATTCTAGCCACTCTTAAGTGTACAGCTCAGTGTTATGAAGTACTTTCAAACTGGTGTGCGACATCACCACCGTCCATCTCCAAACTCGTTCATCCTTCTGAAACTCAGGACACATTAAACTATAACTCCCCATTTTTGCTCCCCTCCAGCCACTGGTAACCACTGTTCTAATTTCTGCCACTATGGATTTGATTACTCCACATATCTACTACAAGTAGAATTATATAATAGTTGCTTTTTTATGCCTTGCTTATTTTACTGAACATAATGTCTTCAATCAAGGTTCATTCATGTTGTAACATGTGTCTGCATTTCCTTCTTTTCTAAGGCTGAATAACACTCTAAATGTAGGTATGTACCATGTTTTGTTTATCCAGTCATCTGTGGATGGACGCTTGTGTTGCTTCCACCTTTTAGCTATTGTGAATGTTACTGTGAACGTGAATGTGCAAATATCTGAGATCCTGCTTTTACTTTCTTATGCTTGTTTTTTTATTCAAGGTTTCATTTTTATCTTTATTTTAATTGATAACTAATTATATATATTGCATATTAATGGGGTAGGTAACATGTGATATTTTCATATCTTTATCCATTTTTTAAAAAATTTAATGCATGTATATATACCAACCTTTCAGGTGGAGACCATGGGTTTGAGTTCCTCTTTATCATGAAACACTGGATCATTAGTGTAGGGAATAGGAAGGGGACATTATCAGGACCTCTACCATGGGTCCTGGCCTATGAGCCACCTTAGCACAAGGTGAATTAAAGAACAGACAGGAAACAAGACTTAGAGTGACAAGGCTGGGTCTTGGGACCTGGTCAATGCTGCTGATGGCAATAAAGACAAAAGCCCCCAAGTGCATCCAGCATTTATTGAATACAATAATGAGAAGGAATAGGGAGCTAGGGAGCTTTGAAGTCATCTAGTGAATAACTGCTGAACACCTGGCGTGATGGTGCCAGGCAGGGCTGTCAGGGAGTCAGCACTGCTTATCTTGCTAGGATAGAAGAAACCAGTACTGGGACCAGACGCAATTAGCAAGCAATCTACGAGGTCAGTGAAAGCGATAATTCAGGGGAAAGGATTTTAATTGGGGTCACGCTGACCTCAGCTGCACATAATTCAGCAGGGCCCTGGCACTTCACAGACCAGGACTTAGGCCTTGGTGACAGCCATTAGCAAAGGAGCAATACTAGTCCAACTCTGCTGGCTGACGTGCCCATTTGAGTCATGCAGGGCTGTGGTCTGACTCCTGATATAAAACAATATAGCCAAATTAGGAAAGGCAAGAAGCATGTGCCACTCATAGCCTGCTAGTATTGGGCAGGGATGTCTCCTACATCTCCTCCTTTCTTATTTGGAAACAGCAGCTGTTGTAGCAGGGTGATATTCCATGGCATCTAGGCATTGGTTTGTTGTGTTTCCTCTATGGCAGAATATGCCTGCTCTTGGGTTTCAGCAGCAGGCAGTGTGTCAGGTCTGGTGATCTCTGTGGGTCTGAGTTTGTCCTCTGTTGGAACACAAGCATACTCTGACCCCTATGTTATTAATTCCATTAAACCATTTTATCTCAGTCAGGACATCCTCTGACAACATGTGTGTCTAGGACATGTCTGTAGATTTATCTTAGTATCAATGGAGTTTTGATGGAGGATATTTACTTTCCATAAGTGGATTTAAAAAATTTTTAAATGAAGGCAACAAGAGAAGGTGACAAAATCTAATTGAGCTTGTAGAGGTAGCTGTACATTAGGGTTGAGGGAAATCTGGGGCAGTTCTCCATATTGTGCTGTGGAGCGTGAAAGATGCTCTGAAGGTGGCACCTTAGAAGGCGGTACATCTTACTGCCATTCCTGATTTGCTAGAAAGGAAAACACAGTGCTCTTTCTTGGTCTCATCTTTCAGATGTTGCCTCTTTAAGCTGTTCCTATTAGCCTTCCAAACTGAAAAAAATGAGGCAAGAAGTTGGAGCAGAGAATGAGAAACTCTTGCTCATTTATCTTTCAGACACTTATTTCCTGGTAATTCAAATAAATATACTCCTGGTTGGGAGTCAGAAGCTTACAGAACCTCATCCTATTGGCCCACTGATTTGTCCAGAATTAAAGATAATCACAGTGTTTACTGAGCATCTCCCATGGGCTCCAGCATGTGTGTCTATGTTACACATACTGAATTTAATCTCCACATGAGGAAATACTGTTATGCCTCTTTGACAGATGAGGGACCAGGTATAGATAGGTTACATAACTCACTTCAGGTCGCAGTGAGCTATGACTGTCAAATGAAGTTAACAGAGCCTATGAGTTAGGACATGGATTAGATCTTATTTTGAAACACTATGCCTCCCCTGACATTGTTCTGCCTTCCTATCTTTGTACTGAAGCCAGGCTTAGAATGTTTCAGCCTAGAAGTATTTTGGGGTCAGGGCAAAAGCAAAGAAGCAATCAGTTTAAAGGAACTGTCTATCTCAACTGTTTGCTTTTCATCCCCAATGATAACTTCAGCAAATACAATAAATATTCAATATACAAGAGCGATATTTCCATCACTAATTCAGAAATATTCATGATTAAAGACCAAATAACTAGTCCCTAATGTACCCTAGCAAGACTCATCTTAAAACCAGTGATTAAATGTCAGATACTTAAATATCTGCAGGTTTTAACAACCAGATCCTCTGATCTTTTTGTATTTTAAGGAATTTATGAATCCAAATTTTATGAGTGAATTTTAAAGAAATGCATATGTTTGCTTATTTCACTGGAATTTTAGAGTTTTTAACAACTGGACCATAACTGGGAGGCTGGGCATGGAGGAATTAATGGGGTGTAATACTTTCCCCTTATTCATGGTTTAGCCTTCCTTGATCTGTGGTCAACTTGGTGAGAAAATATTAAATGGAAATTTCCAAAAATAAACCATGCATATGTTCTAATTTTTATACTATTCTGGTACATGCTGAAATACTCACTGTCTGATTCTTTCTCATGCTCAGCAAATGAATCATCCCTTTGTCCCATATATGCTTACTTTATATATATACTACCCACCCATAGTCACTTAGTAGCCCTCTAGGTTGAGATATCACAGTACTTATATAGGATCTGGTACTACCTGAGTTTTCAGTGATCCCCTGGAGGTCCTGGAATATATCCTGGGAAGATAAGGAGGGACTACTGTAGCTCTTATTTATATCCAGTAAGTTCTGGTATCAGAGCTCTTGGATAAGCTGTGTTTTCACACATCTGTCGCAAGAGGATAATGGACATGCTCTGCTACAAGGTTTGCAGCCCATTAAGGTCTCCAAATCATCAAAGACAGATTAATTTCTGTCATGCATCCAGGCTTTTTATTAAATTCAGACTCCAAATGGACTTTTCATGCACAGGTTATACATTAAACTCGATATGTGACTGGAGGGTACCTTTCTCTGACTATGCCAAGCAACTGCTTGTTGAGCCCTATAGCATTCAGACAAGCCTTCCACAGAACTCTGGGGAAAACTAATTATTCTCCTAACCATTGATCATTTCTAAGTTGAGATTTGTATCTTTTTCTTTTAAGCTGTGGGTTCACAAAGAAAATCCAGTGATTTAAAATGCTGTCTCCAACCAATGTCAGTTGATTGTGTGAGTAAAAAGGAATAGTGCACTGTCATTTGGGTTATCAGAAAAAGTAATAAAAGTGCAGATTTTTTGGATGTGTTGTACACACCATGTGTGTACACCATGTGCTCACTCTAGAAAACAGTCATATGACTATGGGTTTTGAAAGAATAGAGGAATCTCCTTGGGTAGAATAGTAAAGGTGCTTAACTCTGGAGATGGGAAGTTAGGGGTCAGGTGTTACTTCTTAACAATGTGTGAGAACAATGTTTGTATCCTCAGATCAGCCTTGATCTCCAAAGGATTCAGGAACACTCACTTAACTCCCTGGTTAGCAAGGTGGTGGGTGAATGTGAAACTTCCTGAGATGGATCACAAGTGGTGTCTGGCTCCCACTCAGGTACATACACCTTTCTTTTTCATATTAGGCCTGCGTCGGTCACTGACAGCCAAATAGAAAGATGACAGAATAGGGCACATGGAAGAATACAGGAGGCTTCCTGTCGTGCACACTCCCCAACTCCTTGCCAGGCTCTGAGCCATGCCTGTTTTGCCTACTTGGTGCCCAGCACATCACCAGGGTTTAATGAATGTTGTGGAATGAATGAATGAAGCAATGAGAATGAATGAACCCAGAAAACAGTGGTTCCCTTTTCCTTCTTTCTCTTCTGCTTCTTTTCTCCAGTGCCTTTTTAATAGTTGGTCATTTGGGACAAAGAAGGACAGGGAGATTCTCTCCCCACAGGAAACCCAGGTGCCACCCCCTCAGGCTTTTAGGTACTGCCACTTACCCTTTTCTCCTGTTCTGCCCAGCTGAAGGTGAGTGAGGAGTGAAAAGAACCACACAAAACCTGGGCTCTGTGTTCTTTTATCCCATCTGTTTCCTTATTATGCCCCAGATCCTGACTCTTGCTCCTTCTCTGCCTCCCTCTTCTCTCACACCCCAGAGCATCAAACACCTGCACCTCTTTCCAGCTCTGGAGCACTCCAGCTTTTGTTCTCCTGCCACCCCAGGACAAGCCCCCAAACCACCTCCAGGGCAGATGGCTTGGGAGGTGAGACTACTTTCAAGCTTCATGAAATAAAAGGCACGAAATTTTTCAGAGGCTCCATCAGGGGTCACTTCTTAAAAGCTCTCAAAATCAGCTCTGACAATGTAGCAAAATGATAATGACATAGATTTCTATGAAATCAAGCTGGGAAACAGGCAAGTAGAAGCTGTGTTTTTCTGCTTTAGGGTAGATATTCTCCTGCGTGCTCTTGACCCACACCTGCGTCACTGTCTTGTACTCTGGCTCCTCAGAGGGGGTTGTGGGAAGTGGACCCAGAGAGGGATGCCAAGGTGACTGCATGGCCACAGCCCCCTGCGGCAGCTCTTTTCTTTCCAAGGATATGATTTTCATGTCAGGCACTGGAAGGACAAGCAGCTGGAAAGAAATGCCTGGAGCTGTCTACTCACAACTAGGTATAAGAAACAATCACACCGCAGTGTAGCAAAAGGCACCACATGCTGTCAGCTCAGCCAGTCCATTCACTCCATTCAGATGCTTACAGCTGTGTCAGTGGGGAACCAGCTCCTGTTTAAGAGGAACTGTGGCAAAGGCATCCTTCAGCCCACCAGATGCCTTTAAACCTGCCTCTATCTGCACAGCATCTGAGCTCAGTGTAGTTAAGAAATTAGCCATCTTCTTGAAGGAAGCTAATTTTCCCTTGGATCTTTTTATTAGCAGCATAGGTAGAGACAGAAAGTCTGTTTGGAAGACTTGTAGGGGACAGAAAGAAAGCTAACATGCTACATGACAGAGTCAAATTGAGAAAAATCTTTCTTGCCAAGACAAATGAAGGAAGTTAAGTTTAATGAGGATATGGGCAAAAGTCCAACAATAATTTTATTTAAGTTACATAGGCTCAGGATTGAGGAAATAGAATTAGTAATAGTTTATACAAACATTGGTTGACTGTGCAATCTTGGGATTAAAGAGGGGCTGGGGGAAGAGAAGGAAAGGAAAATTCCAGGCATACCAGTTAGATAAGATGACGCCACTGGAGAAGATCCAGTTAATTCCACTTACTAAGTAATTCATTCTTGATCTAGCCATACTTGGGGCCCTTTTACCTTCCAGTGTATTCTTCTAACCCATTTTGAGAGCCAAACATCAACATCAAGCCAAGCCAAGGCTATGGCACCTTTGCACACTGAATCCTCCTCAGTTGATCAGTCATGACCAAAGAAAGGAAATTTACTTATATGATATAAAAGGATGGTGACCTCTGCAAGGACATGCTTTAGAAAACTTCCCTCAAAGAGTATGTGCCTATGACAGATACATGTCCATATATCCCTTTCCTAACTGAAATGGGACAGTACATTACATTTGTAATTTTCTTTGCTTTTTCGTAGGTATGTGGAACTGACCAACTACTGTGATTATAAAGACTATAGGGAAACTATATTGAGCAAACCAATGCTGTTCTTTATTAATGTACAGACCAAACAAGACACCTCAAAAGGTAGGTATATAATTTGGTTTTGCCTTGCTGGGCTATGCACTAAGGCACATTAACGAGGTAGAAGTGGGGCATAGAGAGAGCAGGCTGGATATCAGCTCAGGACAAGGTCAACAGCTAGGACCCTGATGTGTGAGGCCATATGTAACATAGCACAAGCTTGCAGAACAAACTCCTAATGGTTGTAGGGCAAAGCCACCTGTCTGAGAAACTTTTTCCTACTTCCTCTGTAGGCAGGAAGTGACCTGATGCTCTGGGTCTTCAATGACTGCAAAAATGGCTGGAGTGATAAGGAATATATATATATATATATAT